ACACTTTTTATAGATTGACTGAACAGTTTAATTCTGGTTTAGTTAAACATTCTGTTGATTCTAAATAAGACAGGACTAGAACTATATTAAAATGGCGCTTTCGATTGAGATGTCACATTTGTCGTATGTAATTGTAGAAATTGTCATGGGAAGTGAGGTATTATGATTTGTACATTTTGAAAAGTCTTGGAAAGCTGTCAGATGTTGAAGGTATGAAGCTAGCGAACAGTGGTCTCAAAAATGAAGTTATTAAGATGTGAAGCGTTTTATAATTTTTAAAGGTTAGTGTTTATAACAAAATAATGCTTCCCGGAATTGGTGTATTTGGAACTGGGAATGTTGTAAAAGTTATAGTACCTTTCCTGCGGGAGAAGGGTTTTAAAATAGAAGCAATATGGGGCAGAACTTTGAATGCTGCTGAAGAGGTAGCAAAGGAACTTGAAATTCCATTTCACACCAACAGAATTGATGATGTTTTACTAAGGAAAGATGTGGATCTTATATTCATCATTTGTTCGCCTAACTTGCATGCCCAGATTGCAGTTAAAGCATTAGGAATTGGTAAGCATGTCTTGTGTGACAAACCAGCTGGTCTGTGTCAGGGGGAGGCTCTCAAAATGGTCCGAGCATCTCAGTATTACCCATCTTTGATCTCCATTGTAAACCACAGCCTGAGGTTTCTTCCTGCCTTTGGACAGATGCGCAGAGCCATTGTGGATGGGTATCTAGGACAAGAAAGTGAGATAACAGTTTGTGATGTGCGAGTACAAATGGGAAGCTTGCTGCATGATGCTTATGACTGGTTGTGTGATGATACCATGGGAGGAGGTGTTCTCACTTTGGTGGGGAGCCATGTGATAGACTTGGTGTCACATTTAACATCTCAGCGAGCAGTGCGAGTTCACGGTGTTATAAGAACCTTTACCAAGACTACAGATCATGTAAATGGAATACGGCACATTTCTAGTCCTGACTTTTGCACATTTCAAATGGAAATGAGTGGCGGAGCCCTTGTCACTGCTACATTAAACAACCACCTTCCAGGCACATTTAGTCAAGAGGTGCTAATATGTGGGCAGGCAGGACATCTAATGGTTCGTGGAGGAGACCTCTATGGTCGTAAATCCAATTCTGCAAAGGAAGATGTAATCTATCTTGATGTTGAAGATTTGCAGCGTGGTGGGGCAATCAACTCCACTGCTGCTAGTACCATTCCACGTCCCTACATGAAGGGACTTTTCAAGATGATTGGGGCATTGAGAGAGGCTTTCCTTCCAGTTGAGGACAAACGTGGTTGGGTGAAAGAGCCTGTTGCCCTAGCTGCAACCTTTGAGGATGGACTTTATGTTCAGGCAGTGATTGATGCTCTGAAAAAATCAAATTCCAACAGAGAGTGGGTCAAGGTGAATGTCATTACAGAGGAGCCAGATCCTGACCCTCTGCTGAGTGCTGCTGTTCGTCGTAGCGCCATCTCCATGTGATGTCTGGACTGGCTGCCTTAAGGGGCAGTCATTAACATTCCACAGATTGATTAATATCAGCATTATAAATGTTATATTTCTTACTTTGCCATTTTAATGTAGCTTTAGATATTAAAACAGAGCGGTTGTGTCTGAAGAAAGTAAGCTGCTGCATATCCATGCTCTAACACAAAGAATATGCTAACCTTTTGGGCCTATCTTGCGAGCAGAATTATGGTAACTGAGTAATGGAATTTAATAGCTTGTAACATAGTTGAAGACACTAACATGAAAGCCAATTTGAGGAATTATTTTGACTTAATGACTTGATCAGAATGTATCTTTGTAGAATTTTGTGCATGTACTTTCACAGATGGTTATCATTTAAAAACGTAAGTAGGGTTTTTGGTTTTCACAACAGTGAGTCTGAAGATGGCTGTCTTCTGGGTTGTTGCTCTGTGTAGTCTGGTAGAAGTTTACCAACATCATTGCCTTGATGATGGAGGCAGCAAGGACGTCTGAAACATTGGTAAATATCTACCAGACTACATGGCACAACAACCCAAAAGACAGCCATCTTCATTAGAAACTTGATCAGAGCACATCACTTCAGATTTTTATTTGTGTATATTCATTGGGGCAGAGTAGTTATCACTTGAGAGGCTGTGGTGATCCCAGTATGTAGATTCTGTACAGAATAATTTTATGATTTCAGCTTAGTATTTTCTGAACTTGGCATCCATTTTGGTGTACATACTTCACCTGATTGTGGATGGACAGTGGTGCTATTCCAATCTTAAAATCACCTAAAATGGGTCTTTTAATTGCTCTTAGAAATTCTTGCTGGAATTAACTATATTGTTTATTTGGGAGAATAGTGGATATTTTATGTCATACTGTAGCTGTAATATTCATATCAAATTGCCTTCTCTGCTTTTCATGACATACATTATTTGTCTTTTGTGAACTTACTACAATTCTTATTACATTTGAAGTCAGTTGTAATCTTCTCAAGCAGTATGCTTTTATAAAGGGACAGAATGTTGTCAAGGTGGCTTCACATTTTTCTTTTTACCATCTTGTCTGCAACAGCTGTAGACCCAGAGAATCTTTCTTTGTTTAAGTAATCCGAGCATGAAGTTGACCACTCATGTCCATTCAGTACCAGAGTTCTAAACCTGCAATCTCTCAGGGTTTTTTTTTAATTTTGTACTGCCTATGGGCATTTTTGTTGTATTGCATCATCCTATATAATGACAAAATTTGTTACTGAGATAAATATATAATTGTAAGTGAATAGTTAATAAGAATAACAAATCAACAAGTTTGCTAGTCAAAATTATTAAGTGATGTGTTTTCTTATTTTCAATAGTCTGTTAGTAGAGTTTTTAATAAATTGTCTTAAAGTTTCAATAAAATCACCTCATTTATAACCTGGCAGCTTGCATGTTGATAAAAAAGGGTGAATTTAGCAACAGATCTTAAAAAGTTGGTAACACCTGATCTAGTACCACAATTAAGAATAACTGACATTTTTAACTTCATGCCTTTTCTCCCCACAAGATATTATGTTGCCAAGAGTTATTATTTACCATTTTGCTACAAAATTGTACATATGTAAGACGTATTGTTTCTGAGTTAAATCTCTGTAGATAACTTGTTGAATACTTCAGACTCTGATCAGGTTTTTACAACTGTATGAAAAGCTGTTTAATGCAGTAATAAATTACCATTGAAAATATATTGGATTAGTAATGTAGTAAGGGATTTGGCATATACAGATTTTTATATCTTCAGAATCTAAAAATATACATTTCCTAAGTATTCAGTTTGTTAATACATTGTTGTATTACATGAACATCAGTTAATTGCAACCTAACTCAACCCTATAGCGGTAATCTGCGTCAGCTGAGCATGACGACCAGTGCACGAATTTTCGAAAAAACCATGGATGGTCGGAAATTGCTGAAATTTTGTATGGACGTCGTGCCACAGGTGAGTAATAAAATTTCATACTCTTTCGTGTCGCAACACTTGTAATAAATTCACACGAAGGTATAAAAGTCCCGAGGTGGAAGAAACGCGAAATCGGCCACGATTACCAACATCCGACTTGATCAACAAGGAATTACGCACAAAAACGTTTCTTTATGTTTTCTAACTGGTGCCTATACGTGCACAGATACGTCATAAGACTAAAAAATGCACATAATGAGTGTAGAAATATTTTTATGGCGAAGAAACTGATAGTGACTAAGGTTATGTAAGCGCCATGTAGCTTCATACGTAAGGATTGGCGCACAGAAATCACCATACGTAAATAAGGGGATTAAAATTGAATCCAAACAAATTCAAGTGACGGAAATTAAGAAAAACAACAAATAAATATGCAATATGAATTGCAAAGATCAAAAACCATTTCGGAAATTATGCAATTGTTCGTACGCATTGAATGTAGCGTACAGATGGCAGCATGTGTAAAAATACTTTCCGAATTAGACTGGTGATGGCGTGCTGTTGCAGTCAGGTAAATCAATAACCATTCTACGTAGCGGTTGGACGACAGAAGAGATCACAAATTTACGAACTCTAACGGAGAGAAAACTAAACAGAAAACGACGTGGTTCCATTCGATTGGACAGACCTGTACATCGGCTTTCAAATACGTGAGATTGATGTCAGCCCCGGAAGTGAAAATCAGTCGTTATTGATTTTCGTCGAGAGGCAGTGCAGTCTCCGTGATTCAATGTTTGCCTTGGAATTTAGCTAAGAGATATTCACCTTTTTAAGTTCAAACTTTCGGACGTTGGTACTCAAACAAATATGTTCATCGGGATAATTAGCAACATTTACTTCCTGCGATACATATCTCCATACATCTTAAAATAAAATTTTGATATGTGTATTAATGCCCTATCTCAGATTCGAAATTCGAAATTTGTCAGAAATTATTTACGACAGTTGCCTAGCGTGAAACAATCCTATCCAGAACGAGATGGCGAGCAGATACAACTTCATATATCGAACATTCTTCTACGTAGACACCCAAGGACATGCAGAACTCAAACACTGACGCAACCTACCGGGTAGAGCACAGAACCATAGCTTTCGACGCTCGATTGCAACAACCTCTATAAACCCGCGCGCATCACGTCTTGAATGCCAGCAAATCAATGTCGAGGGACTGCACGTCATCGTCTTTTGTTTGTTATTGTTGTTCCCAAATATTTGAACTTTGTCACATTTTCAAAGGATTTATTAGCCACCCTAATATGATTTTGCCTGCCTGTCTGCTGATGGGATACTAAAATGTACATAGTTTTTCTGAATTTACTTCTAGCCCCACTTTTCTACTAGCTTCTAGAAAAATTGTGTTCCTCATTATTTTATTTATATTGTCACCCAATAAATTAACATCATCAGCATAGGCCAATAACTGATGTGTCCCATTCAATTGCAAACCCTCCTACATCTTCGGTAATATATAAGTCATCGTTTATTTTCCGTGTTCCAATTTTTGTTTAAATTTCTGTGCGTAATATATAAGTCATCGTTTATTTGTTCCAATTTTTGTTTAAATTTCTGTGAACTGAAGTTATGTGGCCACTTTTAGCTCTTATGCAATATCATTTTCGAGGCACAATATTTTTGGTAGTATATAATATCACACTTTTTATAGATTGACTGAACAGTTTAATTCTGGTTTAGTTAAACATTCTGTTGATTCTAAATAAGACAGGACTAGAACTATATTAAAATGGCGCTTTCGATTGAGATGTCACATTTGTCGTATGTAATTGTAGAAATTGTCATGGGAAGTGAGGTATTATGATTTGTACATTTTGAAAAGTCTTGGAAAGCTGTCAGATGTTGAAGGTATGAAGCTAGCGAACAGTGGTCTCAAAAATGAAGTTATTAAGATGTGAAGCGTTTTATAATTTTTAAAGGTTAGTGTTTATAACAAAATAATGCTTCCCGGAATTGGTGTATTTGGAACTGGGAATGTTGTAAAAGTTATAGTACCTTTCCTGCGGGAGAAGGGTTTTAAAATAGAAGCAATATGGGGCAGAACTTTGAATGCTGCTGAAGAGGTAGCAAAGGAACTTGAAATTCCATTTCACACCAACAGAATTGATGATGTTTTACTAAGGAAAGATGTGGATCTTATATTCATCATTTGTTCGCCTAACTTGCATGCCCAGATTGCAGTTAAAGCATTAGGAATTGGTAAGCATGTCTTGTGTGACAAACCAGCTGGTCTGTGTCAGGGGGAGGCTCTCAAAATGGTCCGAGCATCTCAGTATTACCCATCTTTGATCTCCATTGTAAACCACAGCCTGAGGTTTCTTCCTGCCTTTGGACAGATGCGCAGAGCCATTGTGGATGGGTATCTAGGACAAGAAAGTGAGATAACAGTTTGTGATGTGCGAGTACAAATGGGAAGCTTGCTGCATGATGCTTATGACTGGTTGTGTGATGATACCATGGGAGGAGGTGTTCTCACTTTGGTGGGGAGCCATGTGATAGACTTGGTGTCACATTTAACATCTCAGCGAGCAGTGCGAGTTCACGGTGTTATAAGAACCTTTACCAAGACTACAGATCATGTAAATGGAATACGGCACATTTCTAGTCCTGACTTTTGCACATTTCAAATGGAAATGAGTGGCGGAGCCCTTGTCACTGCTACATTAAACAACCACCTTCCAGGCACATTTAGTCAAGAGGTGCTAATATGTGGGCAGGCAGGACATCTAATGGTTCGTGGAGGAGACCTCTATGGTCGTAAATCCAATTCTGCAAAGGAAGATGTAATCTATCTTGATGTTGAAGATTTGCAGCGTGGTGGGGCAATCAACTCCACTGCTGCTAGTACCATTCCACGTCCCTACATGAAGGGACTTTTCAAGATGATTGGGGCATTGAGAGAGGCTTTCCTTCCAGTTGAGGACAAACGTGGTTGGGTGAAAGAGCCTGTTGCCCTAGCTGCAACCTTTGAGGATGGACTTTATGTTCAGGCAGTGATTGATGCTCTGAAAAAATCAAATTCCAACAGAGAGTGGGTCAAGGTGAATGTCATTACAGAGGAGCCAGATCCTGACCCTCTGCTGAGTGCTGCTGTTCGTCGTAGCGCCATCTCCATGTGATGTCTGGACTGGCTGCCTTAAGGGGCAGTCATTAACATTCCACAGATTGATTAATATCAGCATTATAAATGTTATATTTCTTACTTTGCCATTTTAATGTAGCTTTAGATATTAAAACAGAGCGGTTGTGTCTGAAGAAAGTAAGCTGCTGCATATCCATGCTCTAACACAAAGAATATGCTAACCTTTTGGGCCTATCTTGCGAGCAGAATTATGGTAACTGAGTAATGGAATTTAATAGCTTGTAACATAGTTGAAGACACTAACATGAAAGCCAATTTGAGGAATTATTTTGACTTAATGACTTGATCAGAATGTATCTTTGTAGAATTTTGTGCATGTACTTTCACAGATGGTTATCATTTAAAAACGTAAGTAGGGTTTTTGGTTTTCACAACAGTGAGTCTGAAGATGGCTGTCTTCTGGGTTGTTGCTCTGTGTAGTCTGGTAGAAGTTTACCAACATCATTGCCTTGATGATGGAGGCAGCAAGGACGTCTGAAACATTGGTAAATATCTACCAGACTACATGGCACAACAACCCAAAAGACAGCCATCTTCATTAGAAACTTGATCAGAGCACATCACTTCAGATTTTTATTTGTGTATATTCATTGGGGCAGAGTAGTTATCACTTGAGAGGCTGTGGTGATCCCAGTATGTAGATTCTGTACAGAATAATTTTATGATTTCAGCTTAGTATTTTCTGAACTTGGCATCCATTTTGGTGTACATACTTCACCTGATTGTGGATGGACAGTGGTGCTATTCCAATCTTAAAATCACCTAAAATGGGTCTTTTAATTGCTCTTAGAAATTCTTGCTGGAATTAACTATATTGTTTATTTGGGAGAATAGTGGATATTTTATGTCATACTGTAGCTGTAATATTCATATCAAATTGCCTTCTCTGCTTTTCATGACATACATTATTTGTCTTTTGTGAACTTACTACAATTCTTATTACATTTGAAGTCAGTTGTAATCTTCTCAAGCAGTATGCTTTTATAAAGGGACAGAATGTTGTCAAGGTGGCTTCACATTTTTCTTTTTACCATCTTGTCTGCAACAGCTGTAGACCCAGAGAATCTTTCTTTGTTTAAGTAATCCGAGCATGAAGTTGACCACTCATGTCCATTCAGTACCAGAGTTCTAAACCTGCAATCTCTCAGGGTTTTTTTTTTAATTTTGTACTGCCTATGGGCATTTTTGTTGTATTGCATCATCCTATATAATGACAAAATTTGTTACTGAGATAAATATATAATTGTAAGTGAATAGTTAATAAGAATAACAAATCAACAAGTTTGCTAGTCAAAATTATTAAGTGATGTGTTTTCTTATTTTCAATAGTCTGTTAGTAGAGTTTTTAATAAATTGTCTTAAAGTTTCAATAAAATCACCTCATTTATAACCTGGCAGCTTGCATGTTGATAAAAAAGGGTGAATTTAGCAACAGATCTTAAAAAGTTGGTAACACCTGATCTAGTACCACAATTAAGAATAACTGACATTTTTAACTTCATGCCTTTTCTCCCCACAAGATATTATGTTGCCAAGAGTTATTATTTACCATTTTGCTACAAAATTGTACATATGTAAGACGTATTGTTTCTGAGTTAAATCTCTGTAGATAACTTGTTGAATACTTCAGACTCTGATCAGGTTTTTACAACTGTATGAAAAGCTGTTTAATGCAGTAATAAATTACCATTGAAAATATATTGGATTAGTAATGTAGTAAGGGATTTGGCATATACAGATTTTTATATCTTCAGAATCTAAAAATATACATTTCCTAAGTATTCAGTTTGTTAATACATTGTTGTATTACATGAACATCAGTTAATTGCTTAAATAGTAGGTAGTGCATCCATTATAAGATGGTTAACTTTTGCTTCTGTTCATAACATTATATTGTATATATAGAGTCAGATGGTTCTAACAGCATTATAGCATATTCCTGCTCTTATGAAACTTGACCTTTGCTGGGTCATACAGCAACCAATTATAATAGTGGGGTGGGGACAGCCTTTAGCTGAAGCCTTCAGTTGCAGCTTGGGAGTGGGACAAGATAATTATGTCACAGAAGTTCATTGTTATCACATTTTACCGTAAACATTGTGAATCTGGCCTGAACCATCTCACACACTTGTAAGATATACTTTGCAACATTTGTGAGTTTGGCTCTTTCCTGTGCAACCTGACTGAGAAACACGCGAATACAGTTGGCCCATCCCACACTTCCCACACTTTTGCATAGCATTATTTTGATTGGTTTTCACCCAATCTTTTTACAACATTTGTGAGTTTGGCTCTTTCCAGTGCAACCTGACTGAGAAACACACGAATACAGTTGGCCCATCCCACACTTCCCACACTTTTGCATAGCATTATTTTGATTGGTTTTCACCCAATCTTCACGAGACAAGGAACACAGTATAGTAGGTTGTGATATTTTAAACAGTGATGAAGATAGTGAACATTCCAGTAAACTTATGCTACAATGCCTGATATCTGCCAGTCTTATATACATTCTCTCTTTGGTAATGGCTGTTATTTATATTGCTTTTTCTTTTGTGTAGTACTGTATTTTTGTAATATGTACTTAAATAATTAATTGTAAAGATTTCATAAATTATTGAGGCAGCAGAAATGAAATTAAGACTCAGAGTTGCCATCCTATTAACTAACTAGATGGCTTATGGGACCGAAGGTTCATCACCGAATTAACCAAAGCCCTCCACCGGACCCTATCCTGGGCCAACAAAATCCGGTTTCCTTCAACTCCTATCTCCCATAGATCCCACCTGAGATTGTCCTCCCATCTACATCTAGGTCTCCCCAGTCCTATCCAGAACGAGATGGCGAGCAGATACAACTTCATATATCGAACATTCTTCTACGTAGACACCCAAGGACATGCAGAACTCAAACACTGACGCAACCTACCGGGTAGAGCACAGAACCATAGCTTTCGACGCTCGATTGCAACAACCTCTATAAACCCGCGCGCATCACGTCTTGAATGCCAGCAAATCAATGTCGAGGGACTGCACGTCATCGTCTTTTGTTTGTTATTGTTGTTCCCAAATATTTGAACTTTGTCACATTTTCAAAGGATTTATTAGCCACCCTAATATGATTTTGCCTGCCTGTCTGCTGATGGGATACTAAAATGTACATAGTTTTTCTGAATTTACTTCTAGCCCCACTTTTCTACTAGCTTCTAGAAAAATTGTGTTCCTCATTATTTTATTTATATTGTCACCCAATAAATTAACATCATCAGCATAGGCCAATAACTGATGTGTCCCATTCAATTGCAAACCCTCCTACATCTTCATAAAAGCTATCCTTGATATCACCACTTTTGTCCTCAGTTGGGGCATGAACACTAAGGACAATAATGTTGCAACAACACCCTTCCATTAATTATGTAAGACAGCCTGTCGCCAACAAATTCTACTCTCTTAATTGCTGCCCTAATTCTGCTATGAACAAAAAAAACCAGTCCCTAACTGATGATTATCATTCACCTTTCCATAGAAAAAAGTGAAATTTTCCTATGGGATCATGCCCTACCCCTCCTATCACACCTCCTGCACTGCTACTAAATCTAACTTATAATTCTGTAATTTCCTACCCACTGATTTCAGTGCTCCTGCCCTATAGAGACTCAAATCCTTTTTCAGTTGCCATGGTCGTGCCAAAGAGTCCGTCCAGTTCCGAGGTTGTTTGGTTGTGTTTTTCATAACAATGCTGTTTTTATGGTGAAATGATTGCCATACTATTACAATCATAAAACTAATCAGTAATGGTTTCAGTATTTACTTGCATACTGTGTTCCACTGTGAACTTTGTTTTATCTATTTTTGCCTAATAGTATAGAGGCACTGTAAATAGCTCTCTATTTTTTTTTGGTCTTTGATTTGGATTTGCTCTCTCATTTTATCCTGCTCTTTTCCTCCCCATATGTTATGAATGCCCTTTTTCCATATTTGAGGCTTCTTCTGGATGGGAAGCCTTTAAGCAGCCTCAGGCTGAATTTAATTTTCTCATCATGGCCTTGGACCATGATATTACATATCGAGTAATTTATTACCTATAATTGAAAAAATTAAGTCCAAAACCGAGGTTAGTGTAATGATTAGCTAAGAATACTAATCATTCTTAACATTAAAAACACCTTGATATTTTACACGTCATATAGAGCAGTGGTATTCAACCTTTTTTGTTTGTGTACCCCCAGATATAATTTCTCTCCAACTTTGTACCTCCAAAGCTGTTGGGTGTATAATTCAAGTTATACATAGTATATAATCTATATCTAAAATAAATTAAATTACATTACTGATTATTCAGTGTTTATCATAAAATATTATATATTTTTTTAAATTTCACATACCCCCTAAGATGTCCTCGTGAACCCCCGGGGGTATGCGTACCCCAGGTTGAATACCACTGATATAGAGTATAGCTCTGAATTAAATAATGTGTTAAAAAACTAAAACTGTATGTGGGCTGGATGAAAAAGTGGTGATAGATCAGATCTGGCTCTAATTTTCTTTGTTGTCTTATGTCATACTTGTGTGGTAATATCTTAAAATGGGTTACAGTTGATTTTCAGTTTATCATTCAGTTGAGAATGATCATTAAATACATTAATAAATAATGAAATAGATTCTGACTTACTGAATGTATTTAACTGGACTGAGCGGTTTAAAATAAAAGCTTGACACTCCATAATTTTGTAGCTTATGATGAAAAAATTTTCTTCAGTTCTTGTGTACTGTGATAGTCTGATATATGCTGGTGATGGACATATTGTAGGACTGAAGTGGGAACTATTTCCCACAAACTATGAGATGTTAGATAAGCACTGAGTGAGGGGTACACCCATTGCGTATGAAATTTGGGAGAAAATTAAGTAGGAAGTATATTTCCTAATAACAGTGATTGAGATTGAGTTTATAGTTTATAGTCTTCCAAAATGTACTTCGAATTTAATGTGCTGAAACATTTCTTTATATGCATGGTGGGGAAACCTCTTGGAAAATGACTAGTCAGATGTCTGAGGAGGTGGGAGATTAATATTAAGACAGACATTAAGGAAATATGAGAATGGGAATGTGCATGAGTGGCTCTAGATATTACTGTTACTGTATGTGACATGCTGTCATACCAGCAAACTACACTGAAGTATCTCAAGCAGTCTACAGTGACTAAGCTGATCACCTGATAGACTTTCATCACAAACTGCCATTTGGCAACCAGTTTAAACTTTAATGGTTTATTTTACTTTCCTGTTGATGTATTTGACAATTGAAACATTCTCACCCAACAAATATTCAGCAATTGCCACTTAAAATATATGTTAATTTTCTTCTCTTCAACACAGATAAGTTTAAGAATGTGATATGATTTGGCACTCTTATAATGTATTTAGATGTGTTGATTGCTAATGACTATTTAAACACTTCAAATAATTCAAGTCAAAACTTACAGTAACAGTATCTAGGTGCACCTCTTGGTTGTTTGATTTCCTTCACTACAACTATGGCAGTTCTACTGCAATAATGCAGTTAAAAATTGAGAAAAATGTGACTGTAATATGTTTTTCCAGTGGAACACAGTATGAATTCTTAAGTGTGGCAAGCATTGGTGAGAAACCTAATTTATGTAGGCCTATTGTAAGGTACTATTTATTGTAACACACATTTGTAATTACAAATATGGCTTTTAAATTATATTTTAATAAATATAATGGGAGGAAATAAGTCAGAGCAATTACCAAGATAAAATATTTGAAGGCACAGACTTGTAAGCCATTTCCATGTTATCTTATAACCACTGTTTTGATCTGTCAATAGTAATTATAATGTTGCACTTTGTATAGGAAATTAGTTTGGATTTTTGTACAAACCATTCCATCTATAATGGACATCAGTATGTAGTTATTCAGTCTTTCTACAGATTATCTAAAGTTTGTGAAATTGGCCATTTCATTGTATTGCAATCATGTTGGACGTTGCCCCATTTTTAAGGTGTATGTATTATACACGACATTTTAAAAATTGGCCCTGCATCTGTCTTTATGGGATTTGTTGTGCTGATGCTACCTGTTTCCTACCAAAATGGGAACTGTTCAAACTTTTGTTCACTGGTATTGTGTGTGTGTGTGTGTATGTGTTTATATATAACTACATAACCCTGAAAAGCAGTGTAATAGTAAGGAATTTTTGTACTAACTATAACTTCTAATAGTGAGATGTGTTGAAATTATATGTATGGACATTATTTTTGTAACATTTTATTTAACCCTCTACTGATTTGACTGAAAATTGTGAACATTTCTGTCATAGTTCATTGTGATATTAGTACATAACCAGTGTTTACACATTTTGGACATTAAATACATACATTTCTCCTTGCAGTTATCTTTTATCCCTGGATTATTAGTCCTTCTTTCTGTCTCAAAAATATGTGCTCAGGATCTTCCTGATTTGACAAACTGACAGTTACAGGCTGGGTATCTTTTCTATTTCCACAGTCAAGTCTTCAATTTATTTACATATTTTCCACATTCAGAGTTAATATGGTCAGTAAAACGTTTGAACTGATTCACCTGTAATCACATTAGAAAATATATTGTTTGTTTGTTTGTTCAAGCTACTGATTTTCTCTAAATAGTAAACTGTATATGTAGAGTACAGAAGAAAGAATTGAATACTGTTGCTGCTTGCTGTTAATGTTGCTGTGTTGCATACAGTTTTAACATTATAACGGACATAGGCACTACAGAAAACTTCTATAATCCTGGAAATGTGTGGACCATGAACACAGAAAATGTACTTGTGTAGGAAATTGTATTCTGCGGTTAAAATAATTATGCATCAGCCAGGTAAAGAAATGAATTCACTATGCCAGTTAATCTTGATAGCAGTAATGAAACATAAAAACACTGGAACATCTGAATTATGATAACACATAGTACAGATAATGTCTTAACTTCTTTGATGAAAACAGTGCTGACTTGTTAGGCATTGATAAAATTTATTACTTTGTTAGAATTTACAAGTCTTTGAATAATAGTTCCCATCTCACTGTGGAGGATATCTGTGGTAGGAAAGTCCTGT